CTTAAGACCATGGGTTTACATGGCATATTTCACAGACAGGAAGATGATCTTTTGGCACCGAAGAAATGTATGCAGTATGTAGACATCACTGACTATACAACCAAATTACATTTCCGTTCAGGGTAGTATTAAAATGGCACCAGATAACAGAGCAAGTTTAGTTCAGGAAATGAATGATGCTTTATGTAATCAAATCTGCAAGAAAGATTTGGCAAGAAGGAGGCGTGCAGACAAACTATTGCCGAGTCTGGACGTGGCATTAAGAACATTAATTTTAAGTTGTGGGGGATCACTAGAGATCCGCAGAAGAGGGAAAGGGCACACAGCTTCCATTTATTTAAATCAGAGCCAATGCTAGCAGAGACACAGACTCTGATGCTAAGTGAAAGCACTGGCGCATTATTTATGCAAAGGAGTCAGTGCTGCTGTCTTTACGGCCTTATGGCTCCTTATTAAATCCACCCAGGGTTTGGTGCGGCAGGTACTGCAAACCCCAGCCAGCCTCAGTGCAAGAGCGTTTGTTAGGGAGAGACAAAGAAGACACATCATCACTTTGGAGAGCTGAGTCCTACTAGTAGGAGTGCTGCGCTTAGCATCCGGCCCCTCCCAGGCTGAGGCAGCATGCCGGTGGCTTTGCACGCATGTGAGCAACCAGCCAGCTATGTAAAAATCACATTTTAATGTGTTAGAGCACCAAAATATCTTCCTCAGGGAGGAACCTTCCTCCCACCTCTCCCAAACCCAATATTTTCCATCAATCAGCTTGATTATGATCATACCCCAGTTTGAAAGTCTCACCGATCCTGAGGATCCCCTGCTCTCCAGGCGATTACAGAAAACACACCAAAAAATATAAACAAGCCAAATAGCCTGCATGAAACAAATGCACAATCCTACAGGAACACGTGTCTCCTGTTTCAGGGGGACTGAGGACCCTTCTGCCCAGCAGACCAGTCTTTGCCAGCTCACACAGGGCGTTCCCAGCCTCGCACTGACCACCTGCTTTATTCCTGAGGTGCAAAGAGGAACAGCACATTTCAAACGAACGCCCGGTGCTCCCGTGCAGTCCTGGGAGGAGGAGGATGGATGTCCTGGTCCTCTGACCTTCCTCACTTCTTCCAAGCTGGAGAGGTGAAGGGATGTCTTTGGGTCTGCAGGGGAAAACCGCACCTGGGATCTTCTCGGCCAGCCTGCATTGCTCGTTATTATGCCTCCAAAAGGCTGCCAGGAGAGCTTCGGGTCTCCACCCTGGGAGGTTTTCCAGACCCAAAAAGAGCCCTGAGTAACCTGGTCTGATCTCCGAGCTGACCCTGCTTGAAAGCTGGTTGGACTAGAGACCTCCTGGGTCTCTTCCCACCTCAGCTATCCTCTGATCCGATGGAACAAGCTACGTTTTGTAACTTATACAGAAGAGATTTTTGAGAAACCTACCTGCTGCGTCCGTAAGCTTTTAATGGGAAACACAAGGCTGGAGTCAGGTCTGCAGAGATGGAACCTCAGAGTAACGTCGCTGCAAAAAACCGATCTGCTGCATCTGCTTGGTGTCCCGGTGCTGTTTGGGCTTTCTACTGAAGCCGCGTGGCAAGGTGGATGTGCTAAAGAGGAGCAGTTTTTAGGGTCTGGAGGGCAGTTCAGCATTTATCCGCACCTGCAGAGGGCACGTGGCCTTCCGAGTCGGGGAGCAAAGCCGGATTTGCCCGGGTTCTGCGGTGCCACCCCTGCCCCTCCGCGCACCCGGCTGCTGCGGGAGCGGGGCCCCCCCGCAACTGGGGCTGCACCGGGGAGGGGGGGGCTGAGAGGGGGCAAAGGCGAGGGGGGGGTTCTCCCCCCCCCCCCGGTGCCACGGTGGAGCTTTTAGCTGGAGAGACCCCCCGCCTGTCAGCCTGGGAGTCGGGCGCAGCACCTCGACAGCGTTTGGCAGGAGGAGCGCTGGGGATCTGGAGGATCCTGTGCTCAAGCGGGGCAGCGTGGCAGCGAGGCTGCGGGGGAAAGTACAGTCTGGCTTTCCCTGCTAGGATTCCATGGAAAGGAGCCCTGCGGACTGCCTACCCGCGCCCTAACGCCGCAGCGTCGCTTTTCCTACGTACTGATGGTGTTAATTTTCACGCTATGGTTCTGCTGGGCACAGCACGTCGGAAATCCTGAGAAACTCCGCTTTCTCTGTTTTGCAAAACACACGTACTTGGGGCTCTGCCCTTCAGATTTCAGAAATTCCTGTAACAGGGCCTTAAGGCCAAGTTGAAAATAACACTAAGTTTCCAGCAGCAAGATTTTAAGAATCAGATGTCACCCCACCTGACCTCAATTAGCTGGAGGGGATCAAGCAGGGTGTGAAAACCTGTGTTCTATTGGGGGGGGGGGGGGGGAGAGAGGAAAGAGGATCATTTGGAAATTTCAATGTGAAGCTGGTTCTGTATGAAGTGGAGAATTTCAAGTGTGAATGCGTGTATGTGTTCGTGCATGTGCTGGGGAGAGCAGGGCTGGCAGGGGAGACAGAGGAGAGCTTTGTGTTCAGTGCTTCCTCTGACACAGCTCAGCCCGTTCCCTATCTCCCAGTTTCACTCCTGAGTGTGCGGGAACATGCGGTGGCTCCTTTTTCCCACCATCTTCATCATCCCTTGTACGCAGCAGGTAAGTTCATTAAAAAAGAAGAAAAAGATTTCTCCCTTCCTCACCCTGTCCCGGTTTAAAGTTTTTGTTTGCTTATTGACAAAATAAATTTCAGAGAAGCAAAGTCCTCATAAAGAATGAGAAGCCAGTCCCTACTCCTGAGAAAATTTCATTTGCAGCTTATTTACTGCATCGGTCTTGATTTTGGTATTTTTTTCTCTCTAATCTGGATATTAATATGATTCGGTGAAAAAAAAAAGTTTTAGGAAAGCTTAAATTGTCAGTGACCTTGCTTTTTTTTTTTTTTTTTTTTTTTTAAATATATGCACAATTGGTTACCTGATGCAGTAAGAAAGCAAACATATTCCATATATATATACACATATGTATATATCCACAGTGGTCTGATTTCAGGCTAATTTTACAAATGAGAAAGGCACCTGGGCTGTGTTATGCTTTGTCTCTTCTGAGAAAATTTTAAGTGATAGCTTTTGCTGACAGTATTTGTGGCAAAGGCCAATTTCATTATTTATTGACTTAATTTTGAAAATACACTTTATGTGCACATCGTGTATTTTTCCTTTATGGTCACAATAAATGACAAATGGAGAATTTTCAAACGACTGTCTTCCTCTGCTAACTTTCTGCATATTTAAAGTCAGACTAAGATAACCAAACATCAGCGATAATACACTGCTTACTTTTGCTGTTTGCTTATTTATGCCATACAGACCTTCTTCAATCTTTAAAACGTAAGAAAACAAACAACAACACATGAAGGGCTGCTACACAATGGTCTCATTTTCTGACCTGCCCATAGGATCAGGAAAAGTATGCAGTGGGCTTGTGTGATGTGGATAGCTTTGGTACAGAAACGTTGGGAAGCGAAGATTAGAAAATATTTGGCCTGTAAACCTTACAAGCAAACTTTAAATTTTCATTGTAACTTAATAGATTTTTGAAGATTTTTCCAGTAGACTGAGCTTCTCGGTAATTCCACAGTTAAAACTGTCAGATATTTGCCTGATGGTGTTTTTCTTACTGGGAAACTCTGTAGTCTCCCACCTTTCAGTTGACATCGTAGCCTAAAAAAAGGAGAGAAAAATCACTTGCTTAGGTAAAATTCTGTAGGCTTAAAGCATGTTTTAATTTGTAATACAAATTAAACATACTGGTTGAATCACAGCGATTATTTCCTGCTACACATACCCATTCTGAAACGTGATATCTGATTTCAGCCACATCACCTCATATAGCTGGAACTCGGCCAAATTCCTAATAATAATACTCTGCCTAAAAAGAAAAAAAGCAGCAAGAAAGCGTTTCCTAAAACAACCATGCAGTCTTGAGCACTGTTAAATGTTTAGGAACACCTGTGTGTCTTGTTTCCAGAACAAGCCTGTAACAAGCTTTACACTTCAATGCACACGTTCATCAAGTTAACATTATGTTTTATAGAACAGGCTTAGCTGCCTAGAAAAGTATACGTAATTTAGTTGTTTCGTTATTATTGCTGCATTTAGGTAAAAAGGATTAGAAGAAATCCTTTATCAGCAAACGATTAACAAAGTAACACATTTATGAAACTATCTTCTGCCTGCTGCAGGGAATACCGTGTGACATTGTTTCATATTCATTTATTAGATGAATTGCCTGTGTGAATTAGTACGTGTATTAAAAACCATTCAGCCGAAGGAGCTTGAAAGCCACTATTTTGGAGCTCCATTAGTAGCTGTGGATTAAGATATCGTAAATATAGTTGCAAATGTCCATGAAAAACGGAAATTAGTGGTAGAAAAAAGCCTTTTAAAAGGTCATTTTACTGCTGCATGCAATTAAGCCAGCCCGGTTACGCTGCGAGAGCTTTCGTGGGATGTGACGTCTGAAACACTGAGTTCTGCAGATACTTCCAGTCTGGAAGTTGAACTGAAAGGAGACCCAGCCGCCCCCGTGGCCAGCTCTCCGTTAGTGGGAGGTGGTTCCTGCAGCCTGGAGGGACGGAGAGGCACGGAGAGCGGGGCCTCCGCGTGCCCGCAAAAAAAGAGAGGGGGTTTGCTTTGGTTTTGGGGTTGTTTGGTTTTGTTTTTTTTTTTTTTTTTTTTTTTCCCTGCAAGCTGGAAGGGCTGCGTGCGGCCCCACGCCCCTCGGGGTCCGTGGTCGGTGACTGGGTCACGGCCCGCACTGCTGCTGAAATCAGCAGTGGGAACACATCTAGCGCGAAGGTCTAGACCGTCACGTTTCAGATGCAGCTCTTCAAAAAAGGCCGATGGAGTATCAGCGGACTCAAACAGATCCTTTCACACCGTGCTGTCTTAATCTTCCCCCCCTGAGCTCGTCAAGAATTATTTAGGACTTAATTTTCTTTTAAAAAACCCACAAAACAAACGTGAATGCTGAGACGGAATGTGGAAAACAGTAAATTCTGGCTAGATCTTGACTCCTTGCTGCTGATGAAAATATCTTTTAGAGGTAGGTCTTTGCCCTGTAAGCCCCGGATTCAACGAATGCTTAGCGTGCAAATAGATACTTTCTTAGAAAATGACCTATTGAACTCAGGGCAACTACTAGCCTCCCTTATTAGGATTCAATTTTTGCATCTAGCACAAGAGAGCTTGTAAACGCTGTAATGCTCCTTTCCAAACAGCTATTCAAATTTTGGAGTAAAAGCAACGCTCAAAAGGGGTTTACTATTGCAAAAGGTTCTTGCACACAGGTTGGCTATCAAACAGCGGGAGGAACCAAAAGTAAAGTAATTTGGTAAGAGATTTGTGGGAAGGAGTATTTAAAATAAAACCACTGTCTACTTTAAGACACTTCTCTTCCTGCTTTAGCCCTACCATAGGTTCTGTTCTATCGGAGGCAAAGGAAAGACCGATGAACTGCGTTTCACACAGGCAGTAGGCCAGTCTCACTGCTGCAACGACACCTCGGTGCACGGCAGTGGCTGATGAAACGGGTCCTCTGCCTCCTACCTAAACCCCCCAGCCTCTCACTTTCTGGATCCTGTGAGATGAGGAACGTTAAGTGTCTCCATGCGATTTCGGTTGTTTGGTTTTTTTTTTTTTTTTTTTTTTTTTTTTTCCGTCCCAGCTTCGTTTGCTGCTATACCCCAGCTATACCTAAGGCGTTCGGCTCTCAAAAAAAAAAAAAAAAAAAAAAAAAAATCCCACTGTGTGTAAGTTCTCCCACAGCCCGCCAGTGCAGCCTGGAGACAAGGCGAAGCCCGGCGGCGCAGGGAGGTTTGTCGCTGGCCGTGCCGGTGCCCGCCGGTGCCCGCCTGCAGCCCCGGGATAAGCCTGGTGCGGGACGGCTGCGGCTGCTGCCGGGTCTGTGCCAGGCAGGCGGGGCAGACCTGCGGCGCCGCCGACGTCTGTGACCCCCACAAAGGCCTCTACTGCGACTACTCCGCCGACCAGCCGAGGTACGAGGCGGGCGTGTGCGCATGTAAGTTGGTCTTTCACGTTCCCTCCTTGAAATGCCGGGAGGGTGGCACCGGGCGGGTGGATGGTTTGGGAGGAAAACCCCGCTTGCTGGGGCCGCGCGGGGGGGTGCGGGGCGAGTCAGCCTAACTTAGCCCTTTGCTCAGTCAGAGAACCTCAGAGTAGGGCTGGGACTGTCTTTAATCCTACCCGTGTATGCCTCAGCGAAACCAGTTCGTCGTACGCAAGCCTGCTATTTGCAGACATGCCGATGACTGTTTTAAAGTTAGCTTGCTGCAGTTATCCCTGGGCATAAATTAAAAAAGAAAAAAAAGTGCTTGGGCCGGGGAGAGCTTGGAGCTGCGGGTGCAGTGAAGGCTGCTGGCGTTTTAGCGGGACCCACCCGCTTCTCCGGCGTTAGTAACCGCTGTTTACCATTTGCAGATCTGGTAGCTGTAGGATGCGAGCTCAATGGAGTTTTTTATCTCAACGGGCAGAGCTTCCAGCCTAACCCGCTTTACAAGTGCCTGTGTGTCAGCGGGGCCATTGGCTGTACGCCTGTGTTCGCGCCGAGCTCAGCACCGAGCGCCGGGGCCGCGGGCGGGCAGAAGCCGGGACGATCCACCTGCGGCCCGGGACACCACAGGCGGCTTCAAGCGGCGAACTACAGCCTGACGTCAGGTGTGCCTGGCCGCTCCGGTACCCGCGTCCCCGGGCCAGCCTTGCCGGGCTGGGGGTCCCCGGCTCCCGCGGCCGGGCGGGCAGGGCGCTGCCGAGCTCTCCGCCCTCGCTCAAGGCCTTTGCCAGGGCTGCCCCACTGTTGCCCCCCCTCCCCTTCCCCTTAGGTCACAGACTCTCTTCTTTGAGCCTGATGAACACAAAAAGCAAAAAGCCTTCTGGCTTCCGTCTCTCCGGGGAATTGAGCCGAGCTAATTTTTCTGCAGAGGTTCGCTGCTCCCCTCGGATCGGGCTGGTTAGGGCTGGGGGTGGACGGCTGTTTGATGGCCTGGGAACACCCTCACTTTGTCCTGCCTCGTGGTGGTAGGGAGTCTTGGTTTGCACAGACATACATTAACGTATTGCAGGCCTCTTCTGCCAGTGGAAAGCATAAAATGACAAAAATTGCCTTAACGTCTTTCCTGAATTCACAAAGTTTCAGGTGGCTGCCGGGACAACGCTACCCCCAATTTATTCTCTGTTCAGCCTGGCCAAAAGCATACGTGTGCTGCTTGAGTGGGCTGATGCTCCATTCAAACTCATTCCTGCTCTGCTGCTCACTCTTTCTCACTTTAGGGAAGCACCAGGGCCAGGAGCTGCTGTCTTGGCCCGTCCCCGGCCGCAGCTGCCGGTGCTTGCGCCGTCTCCTTCCCTGCACGTGTGCAGGTTTCCGTGGGGAAACTCATCTTTGTTACAACTAATGTGGGTACCAGAGAGCTGAGCCATTTATCTGGTGGCAACTTGAATCGTGGGGAGATTGCAGGCTGGACCGTCATCGTGAATCAATAAAATAAAACTGAAGGGATCGCAAAGCAGAAAAAAAAATAAAAAAATTGGGAAACTTTCCTCGAGACTGCTGAGGGAACAGGAAGATCTGCAGATAAATAGACCCGCTTACAAAATCTGTTTGGACAACTTCTAACACATTAGCAGTGGTTATGCCAGTTAGCAACAATAAAAACGGTTCGCCTTTTCTTCAAAATTACGATACGATGCCTATGAGTAATATCAAAGCCTTTTTACAGAAATGCACTGAATGCTGCCCGTAGAAACACACTCAGTGAGGCGGCTGACTTGGCATCCGGACGGACTTCACTCCTAGAGAAAGTCGCCAGTCCGATGCAGCAGAAGCCGCAGCGGCCCCCCCCCCCCCCCCCCCTTGGGCCCCACGCGAGGCCGGGGGGGGACAGCGTGCACCCCCCTGCTCTGTGGGGCCAGAAGCTGAAGCGCCAGGGGCAGTGAATCGGTGAAGAATGCTCCGCTGGGCGGGCCCGGATCAAGAGCAGAAGGCAAACCCGAGCCGGGGCGCCCAGCGGGCCACGTCCCAGCCGCCCGGCCCCTGCGCCGGCGGGACGCCGCCGCCCTGCAGGCAACACAAACCCCTCTCCAGAAAAGCACCTTCATTTCCCTCCCCCCCCCCAAAAAAAAAAGAAGGGTTTTCTCCCCTCCCTCTCCCTGGGCAGCAGAAGCGTCGCGTCGGCTTGGGCAGGGGTCCCGTGAACGGCTCAGCGGGCCAGGGGCTGCTCTGAAGGGTCTGTTTTCCGTCAGAGCGGGTACCAAGTGCCGCTTCCCCGCTCTTGCTCGGCTTTCCGGCCCTCCTTGGCAATTTGAGTTGGCACATTGGGAAATGCAGGAATGCACCTCGGTCATGCTGCTGCAAACGTACCGAGTATGAACGGCCGTTCAGCTTCCCTCTGTCTCGTGCAGACCTGTGACAGTGCTTGCTGCCTTGACATCTTTAAGTTGCTGCCTCCTCTCCAGGCATCCCACTCTGCCCCTACTCTTACCCAAATGCACACATCCCATATAGTCAGGGTTTTGGGTTTTTTTTTGCAGTTTCACCATGAGCTTTCGCACTGCAATTTTCTTTTTTAAGGTGCGCTCCACCTAACCCAGCCCTAATCCTTCAGAAAACAGGCTTTTTGGCGATACCCAGGGGCGACTGGAGAGTTTTACTCCCCACCACAAAACCTAGAGCCTCCGCAGTCTCCACAAAGACACCGACGTTAACGCTTTCAGCCCCCCTTTTCAAGCGATGTTTGGTCTTAAATAATTTTCAGCGCCTCTTGCCTTCTGGACATCTCATAAAAATTCCACAAGTAACTCTCCCCACGTAGCATTTCCACTACATTAAGCGGAGGCTCACACAACACGCACAACCTCCTAGCCCTCGCTGGGATCCGAGCAGCCAGCGGCAGCTCAGCTGGCTTCTGTGTAACTTGGTTTGTGCCTCAGTTCCCAGATTTACCCACAAAAGCATCTTCACGACCAGAAGCCAAACGCTTCTCCTTTTACTTCCAGTTAAGCCGCCTGGGGCTGTTCAGCTGCACAAATAACGCGTTGCTGTCTTAGCTTCCAGAAGCTTACCGCTGGTTTTGAAGAAAAAGTGCCTGGTTCAGGCAACTCCCTGGACAGGCTGCTCCCGGACCTGCGGCATGGGCATGTCCAGCAGAGTGACCAACGACAACGGAAAATGTGAAATGAAGAAGGAAAAGAGACTGTGCTTCATCCAGCCTTGTCTGACCAACGTGCTGAAGACAGTAACGGTATTTCCTAATATTAAATGACTTGCTAATGGAAAATCGAAGTTTTGCAAGTAAGGGGAAAAGGGATGTATTAACAACTACGAGTATGAAATGACTTCTTCCTTTTTTTTAAGGCTTTTAAAAAACTTTTGTTTTCTACCTTCAGTCTTCAGGTTACAGTGGTAAACTACGGATGTGCAATTTCAAACAAAACAGTATGATGTCCTGAAGTTTAAGTGCTTCTAATGCTGTCCTAGCGCTCAGTCACTCAGAAAATATTTCCTATTTGTTGACTGATAATGAAAGACAGCTTTCAGAAAGAGTAATTCTCAAGACATTTCCATGTAAATGTTACAATTTTTTCTTACATGCTCTAACCTGTAAAAAAGTGAGGCTTTTCTTTGTTTTTATATTAAAGATCCCCAAAGGAAAAACATGTCAACCGACGTTCCAGCTTCCCACAGCGGAGAAACTCGTTTTTTCAGGATGCTCGACCACTCAAAGCTACAAGCTAACTTTCTGTGGGGCGTGCTTGGACAAGAGGTGCTGCGTACCTAACAAGTCCAAAATGATCACCGTCCAGTTTGAGTGCCCCAACGAAGGCTTCTTCAAGTGGAAGATGATGTGGATAACATCGTGTGTGTGTCAGAGGGTGTGCAGTGCTCCAGGAGATGTATTTTCTGAACTCAAAGTTGTGTGACGAGCAACCCCCCCCCCGACTGGAACATCCTGGGGGGTGCGACCGCACAGTCACACTCCTAGGCTAGCATAACCCCCTGCCGCCGCAAAGCGCGTCATAAGCTTTCAATAACACCTGGAAAATGCAAATAAGAGTGCATCTTTTTAAAGGTAGTTCTTTTTATACGTGGAAATACATTCTTGAGAAGGGTGTATATAACACTAGTATCGTCAAAACAGGAACTTCTGGTAATTAAAAAAAAAAAAAAGATACAGCAATATAGCTTCATAGTGCAGTGCAACAAGCTGTTGCCCACAAACAGATGTAAATTCACAGATGCTCTGACCTATTAGAAAAAAAACCCCAAAACCTTTTAACACTTCATCTATCATTCTTGATTCGCAAATTAAGATTTTCTACCATGTGTCTGCAATAGGAAAACACATCAATGCCGTTTCAAACGGAAGTCAATTTTAAGTTCAGATTGCTTTTTGCAGCAGATGATCTCTCTCTAGTGTCATGAATACAAACAATGCACAAGGAACAAATAAGTGGGCACCTGCAGATAACAGATGCAGTATTTCAAGGAAACGACTGTTTTTAGAATGCTTTCTTAAAAAAAAAAATGCTCTCAACAAATGTTATTGCAATGTTTTATTGACTACGCCAGGGCCTATGCACTGGAAAGTGTGCTTGCTTATGCGCCCATCCCAACTCCGCTAGAAGGATTTCAAGCTTTAAGCAATCATTGCATCGACCCATTCTGATTTGTAACAGTTCACTGGTCTTGCTGCTCGAAGACAGCCAAGGCTGGCAAGCAACTGGAAAGAGCTGTACATTCTAGTTTGTAAAAGGTCTTACTGTAATATAAAAAAATCTACTTGTTCTGGTAATTATAAATATTAAAACAGCTGTTTTACTTGCAGTCTTTTATTCATACAAACTCTGTTCTCCAAACAGTCATTATAAGTGCACGTTTCACTCAGAGGTATATTGTATTGTCTCATCATCAAGTGCAACTCGGCAGTCATGAACCATTAAAATATGTTAATTAACAATCCAGGTATAATACTTGAAACAATTTATTTTGTTGAGTTTTCCGATATTGACAATTTTCACATCAACTCTGAATGCTCCAGTACAGCTGAGTACAACACGGAAGCAAATATTAAAAGCCTGAACATAGCTTAGAGGACTCTGAAATGACTACTGCCCTGCAGAGTGCAAGCAACCAGTGTCCTTAGCGGCTCCCTTTCACCTCTGACAGGACTAGGTGGGCTTTTCTTGTCTTCATAGTCTTCATTTTGTTAAAAAACAAACCTAGCAACAGTGATCCTTCTTCGAAGCAAGGCCTGACTTTAGTTTACCATAAGCTGAAAGTCTGAGAAAAAAAAAAAAAACCTGCATTTTTGGCTGCTACTACACCTCTTCCTTCTCTTTACAGCACACAGGATGTCAATGCACAGTTAGGAAGACCGCTCTTACCGACACCTGCCAGAACTCGGGGTCTTTCAAATATTTCTCACAGGCTGGGCCTGTCACTTCATACGACACCTCTCAGAGCTGAGGAGGGCGCTGTCCCAGTCTCACTTTGGAATTACAATAGCTACACACGCTGCAATTCCTTCTGGGTAACTCAAGTCGTTGCAGGAAATGATTTTTTTTTTTTTTAAATCAGTTCTTCCTTCTTTAAATAGCTATCTTCAGTCTCGATGGATCTGTTCTAGGCCCACCTTTTGTGGCATCCAGTTCATTGTACTCTTCTATCAGGTCAGACAAAGATGATATGGCTTCAGAAAAACAGCTTTGCTCCATCCCCTCTATATGCAGATAATGGTGAAGGTGAGCCTAAGAGAATAAAAAAAAAACAAAACCAAATTCAGTTACTCTTTTTGCTGCTACCCAACTCCTTTGGCTCAGCACGTACCGTTTAGCCTGCACTGAAGAGGGGAGCACAAGCGCTGCAGAAAGTAGATGTAAAGACCTGTATCATTACATCCCTTGTTCACATACTTTGTAAATTTACCAACAATCCCTGATGGAATCACAGTTGATATTACTGATTTCTTACACACCCATCTTTTTATATTCTGTCTTCTTGGGTACACCTGACCAAACTGTGTATTCAGTGTACGTGGCAAGATTTTGGGAGCGGGGGGGGAGCAGGGGCCTGCACAGGTGGCTTTTGTGAGAACCTGCCCCCACGTCAGACGGAGCCAGGTCCAGCATGGACCTACCACTGGCCAAAGCTGAGCCCATCAGCAACGCTGGTAATGCCTCTCTGATAACACAGTTACAGAGGGGTGAAAAATGCTCTGCAACAGCTGTGAGAGGAGTCAGAAGAATGTGACAGAAACAGCCCTGCAGACACCAAGATCAGCAAAGAAGGAGCACAAGTGAAATTGAGCCTGGAAGAAGAATGTGGGGTGAAGGTGCTTTCAGTTTTGGTTTCATTTCTCATTCTCCTACTCTGTTATTAATCGGCAATAAATTAAATTAATATTCCCCAAGTCAAGCCAGTTTTGCCCATGGCAGTAACCGGTGAGTGATCTTCCTGTCCTTATCCTGACCCACGAGCTTTTCCTCGTACTTTCTCCCCGGGTCCTGCTGAGGAAGGGAAGTGAGAGAACAGCTTGGTGGGCATCTGTCGGCCAGCCAAGGTCAACCCACCACAAACTGGTAGGCAGATTTCTCAGATACTACCTCCCTGATGAAGAAAGGAAGTATATTGCCTGGTAGGTACAGATTAATAAGGTTAATTATGCTTTTTGAGCAGCAGCTGTTGGAATTATTCCTTGATAGGTCACAATTAAAAATCTTAAGCTGTTACTTTTAAGCAGTCCCTTTGTGATACTAACATTCGCTTCCCAGTAATGCAAGATGCTAATGATTAGAGGCTACGGATAATAAGATTGTACCTTCTTCCTATAGAGCTTCATAAATCTGTCTTTGAGTTCAATGAATGTTGGTTTTACACAGGTGTTGTTTGCTAAAGCCAGAAGGGAATGGGAATGGCCCACGGGAGGTACTGAACACAAACCAGTTTTCCAGCCCTCTTGATTCCAGGAGACAAAGTGCAGGGAGGGCTTCAACCTGGGATACAAAAATTTAGTTACTAAAGGAGTGTAAAGAACACAAAGCTTAAGTTTCCTTTGCTAACAAGCAGTCTGACACGGTTAACATTTAAGCTTTCAGAACTGCCAGTTATAACTATCATTTTGAATGTGACATTTTAGACTTCAGACTAAAACACCGTGTCTATTTTAAAATTTAAATTGCAGACAACAATTTTGTTTTGTTATTTAATTTTTGAAAAATAAAGTTACAAGCACCTATTTCTATAAAAGGGATTGCAAGCACTCAGATTTAGGAGAGGAGCAGATTAACACCATGTGGGAACAACCAGCCTACCTTTAGCTTAGAAATAAGTAAAATGCTTCAGATTCTAAGAAATTTTTCCCCGTGCACCCCTGTCTGCCTCAAACCTCCATTCTGTATGTGAAGCTTGACTACCTTTCCTGTTATAGCTATGTCGACTGAGAGTGTAAAAGGTAGAAATAGAGTGCTAATAATACAAAGTTGTCAAAATAAGGATGATTCCCTATCTACATGAAAGTAACCATGAAAGAGAAGGGCCTTCTGTTCAGTAAAAACAAACTTCTACTACAGAACCTATTCCTCCAACATCTTTTACTGGCAGGTGACCTCTGGAAGGTCAGGCTTGGCTTTCTTTTGTATTTTTGAGAATGAGAGGAGCAGCACAGGGACATCTGTCAGCTCCCTTTATTTGGAAATCCAAGAATGCTGTGACTTATTCTAACTTATTACGTCAATTAATTACATTTCCTTCCCTTCTGAAATTAAGAAAAATATTTCTGAATAAATTGATTTGGTCTTGAAAATCTTCAAATGAAAAGTTGAGAGTGCTCAGGACAACTGGTAACAGTTTCAATAACAGATTCCATGACTACTTTGAATAGTATTACGAACCTTTCAATATTTCTGCGAAGGTCTGAAACCTGCACATTTCCTCGAACAAGAAGTGCACAGGCAAGGTAGAGGCTACGCTTTGGGTCTGCTTGAATTAGTTGATGATCTCTACTAAAAGCATCTGAAAACATCTGATCCAACCTAAGTGAAAAGAAAACAGTTATCTACTCTTAGTAAGGCAAAAGTTCTTCAGGCTGACAGGCTTCAGGGTTTAAAAGTTCATAAAATTCTGCAGATAAAGTTACATTTAACCCGAGATCGTGAATTACAGGAAAAATATTCAAACCTTTATATGTACATATGTTGGCATTAGAAGATCTTAAAAACACACCAGATCTATTTTTTCCTCTCTGCATGTTACAAGGCCACGGTTGAGTCTGAAGTCCAAGAAGTAGACAGACTAAGAGACCTTTATTATGACAATTTCAGGTCAATGGTTACAAAGTATTAGAAATAAGTAAAAGGATTTAAATAGTTGAGGCTCTGGCTACATTCCCATTTGAGTGGACAATCTCACCACTTGTGAAGGATCTGACAAGGAATACCAAACTGCTGCTGACCCTTACAGAACTGATTATCTGCCTGTTACACTTCATTATTTAAAAGGATCAATGAATCACAGAACTTTATTAATTTTGATTAATGATATAGGAAAAGGCAGACTATACATATTTGCCTACTAATTCTAATTTTACCATGCATGACTGCTTTAAAAGATGACACTGCAGATCATCTTCTTTCTCTCGTCACCTCCTTAAGCAAACTCCAGTCTACTGTGGGATATCAAGGACAGTGTCTTGCGGAGGTTTCTGCAGACCCACACCATCTGAGCTATTCTTTCAATCTGTTCCAAACTCCCTGCATCTATCTTTTTTTTTTTTTTTTTTTTAAATCATCTCTGCCACAATCTGCCTATTAAAAAAAATAACTAAAGGGGACAAAAATATTACGATTCCCACCTCACTCTGAAACATGATTGACTGAGCATCTCTCCCCACAGTCCGTTAGTTTCTCTCCAGCACTGTATGGTCTCCTCAGGGCGTGGTCTCAAGGGATCCAACTGATTGTCACAACTTGCTGTCGCAGAAGAGGGGTGGTCCTGCCTTCTTCTCCACTTTGCATACTTCCATCACTTACCCTCTGCTGTCTCTACCACTACTTGGACCTTTTGCTGTATGAACTTAATTCGCTAAAACCAGTAAAATCTATTTTATCTTGTTATTTTTCTGCTATGTCTGTGGGATAAATAATCTCACAAAAATTGACAAGTGTCAATTTATGTCACAAGATGTTAAATAGGCTCACTGCATCTCCAGACTGAAGTGAGATACCATTACACCCCGAGGAGTCTATTTTAATACCTTGTTTGTCTTTATAGTATTTTGTGAGTCAAGTGCAAACTGTTACTCAAAAGGACTTGTGCTGTAGGTTCTCTCCAAGCAATGCATTTTTCCAACAGAAACATTTCCCAGCAGAGATAAGAAAAATACATTTCAAGTTTACTGGCTCAGTCATTACAGAGAAAAGGGACAAAGGATGTTCCTAAAATCAGCAGGACAAATTTGAAAACGTGGCAGACTTAAAACTTTTAGGACTTCTATCCTTAGTTTTGCTATAGAATGGAATTTTTAAAATGAAAACTATGGAAGAATCAGAAATTAAACTTTAAAAGTAAAGCTTCCATAATATTTTTTTCTTACCTTCTAGAAGGTACATTGACATCAGCCAATGTATACAGAGGAGTCAAGCTTGAAACCAAGTAATGGAGTCGAGGAAATGGAACCAAATTCATGCTGATTTCATTAAGATCCGTGTTAAGGGAACCTTCAAACCTAGCAGAACTAAAAAATTAACAAACTCTTATGAGACTGTGTTACAAACCAGGTAAATTACTTTTATAACGTAAACATTCATTAAAATCTGTTTTTCAACTGTTTGGTACAATCAAACAGTTAAACAGCACAGCGTTCAAGAAACTGTTCACGTATAATTACTAAACTTTCACATTGGGCAGTAACAGTGCTGTATCTTATTTACTTACACTTCTCATTATAGAACAATCAATCATGAAGAATGACACCTTGTTCCCAACTGTAGTCCTTCGCACTGTTTTTCAGTACGTGGACAGAGCTGCTGAGCTCCACTTTTAATCTCTAGGCTTTAATAAAACATGCATGACAGCATTCCTGACAAGGTGTTTAAAAGAAAAGCAGGTCAATACTCCAGAAGTGTATTTCACCAGGAGTTTCTTGCAGCAACAGACAGTTGCAGGAACAACAATGATCTGATGGTATTCATAAAATAATACAACTGGCCTAGAAAGGCAAAACTCCCTGGGCTCCAGTAGCATTAACAGAAGACGGTACCTTCCTGCCTATAAACTTTGCCTTACTTCAGTTCTAAGACGATCGTGGCTAGAACACCGCCGCTACGGTCTCAAGACCTCCAAATGCTTTAACATTCAGTAAATAATTCTCAAAAAGAGGAGTCTCGTGTCAAAAACGGAAAACAATTCCTCTTTGAGTTGATGCAGGCCTGTGTATCTGCAGCACACACCACCCCCAGCACACACCACCCCCAGCACACACCACCCCCAGCACACACCACCCCCAGCACACACCACCCCCAGCACACACCACCCCCAGCACACACCACCCCCAGCACACACCACCCCCAGCACACACCACCCCCAGCACACACCACCCCCAGCACACACCACCCCCAGCACACACCACCCCCAGCACACACCACCCCCAGCACACACCACCCCCAGCACACACCACCCCCAGCACACACCACCCCCAGCACACACCACCCCCAGCACACACCACCCCCAGCACACACCACCCCCAGCACACACCACCCCCAGCACACACCACCCCCAGCACACACCACCCCCAGCACACACCACCCCCAGCACACACCACCCCCAGCACACACCACCCCCAGCACACACCACCCCCAGCACACACCACCCCCAGCACACACCACCCCCAGCACACACCACCCCCAGCACACACCACCCCCAGCACACACCACCCCCAGCACACACCACCCCCAGCACACACCACCCCCAGCACACACCACCCCCAGCACACACCACCCCCAGCACACACCACCCCCAGCACACACCACCCCCAGCACACACCACCCCCAGCACACACCACCCCCAGCACACACCACCCCCAGCACACACCACCCCCAGCACACACCACCCCCAGCACACACCACCCCCAGCACACACCACCCCCAGCACACACCACCCCCAGCACACACCACCCCCAGCACACACCACCCCCAGCACACACCACCCCCAGCACACACCACCCCCAGCACACACCACCCCCAGCACACACCACCCCCAGCACACACCACCCCCAGCACACACCACCCCCAGCACACACCACCCCCAGCACACACCACCCCCAGCACACACCACCCCCAGCACACACCACCCCCAGCACACACCACCCCCAGCACACACCACCCCCAGCACACACCACCCCCAGCACACACCACCCCCAGCACACACCACCCCCAGCACACACCACCCCCAGCACACACCACCCCCAGCACACACCACCCCCAGCACACACCACCCCCAGCACACACCACCTCCAGCACACACCACCTCCAGCCCTAGTGCTTTTACGGAGGAAAAAAACACGCAACTTTACCTTGTCAGGTTCAGCAGCAAGTTGGCTACGATATTATTCATCGCATCAAATGGCTTCTCTTGCCCAGCTTTCGCGCCGCCTGCGCTTGATGTTACCAAGCTGTTTTGCTTCACAGTCGACCCTAGCTTCCCAGAATTGATCATCTGATGAATTTTATTGACTATATCAAACAGAGACTTTGGGAGAGAAAAAAAAAAAAAAGCATACAATAAGTCTTTATCACAGAGCTCTCAAATTCAGTATCTCAATTTTTCATTTTATTTAAAGAAAAAGTTGACATGGTACTGCCAGTTCAAAGATAGTACCTTTTACATGTGCAAGTCCAACTTTTGACCACTTACAACTGACTGAAATGCTTCTAAAAGTCTGTTCTTACATGTCACAAACATGCACAGGGCTTGACTCAGAAGCTTGAATTTTATTCAACTATGCAAAACCCTCATCTCCTAAAATTAATCTTAAGTTTTCATAATTCCTGTGAAAGCAAAAAATATATTCTCTAATCGTAATCCACTTTCTCTTGCTTTTTTTATAAGCAAACAGCAAGAGAGTCAAAGTTAGAGTCAAATGAGTCTAGTGGTTCGGGTGGTCAGGTATGCCTATGGTGCCCACCCATATCACTAGTCAGTAAAGTCAAGTGTTGGAATTTGGAGTGGTTAGTCGTTCCCCTTGCAGGGCTTTACTGATACTACACACACATAGACTTATAAAGGAACACGAGACTCTCACAGCCTCAGTAAATAAAAGCTTTTCACGTTTACCTTGACATAGGCATGAAAAAGTGAACTCTAGACTACTCTGAAGCTGCAGAGCAACTTTTTAGTGATACCCATATAAATTTAAAAAGCCTGCAAGTGACTTGGGAGTTTAATTACTACTTTAAAAAATGAAACCATGCTTTTTAGGATTTGGTACTCCATTCAATACCCAGAAGGAAGAAACACCTCCTATATGCAGTCTACTAAAAAAAGAAGTTGACAGAAATAGAGTATTATTTCTTACTTCATTCTCTATTGGTAGCACACAATCTGCGTGTTCATTAAGCTCCTTCATAGCCAGAACACTGTTATATGGAGAGGTAATAACATCATCTTCACCAGAGGGATAAACTGAAGTAACAAATCTATACACTTCTGGGAATTCATCCTCAAGCAAATTTAGTACAAAAGTTCCAAGACCAGATCCTGTCCCTAATTATGAATGAAGACAGAATGTAATTATGAAGACAGAAGGAGAGAAGATAAAAGGTTCCCCCTGTTATCTTAAGCCTTAAGTCTCACATGTTGGAAACATACAACTATTCAATTACATATATATATATATACACATATATATATACATATATATATATATTAATGAATATTTTTTGTAGCACTTGGCTGACAGTGGAGGCTACTCAGATGTAAATTAAGGCTGGAAGGCTTTTCCCAGACAGGAAAATAATTAAGTGATAAAAGTATTTCCCACAGTATACAATCTCAAAAATTTCTGCAAAACAACTAGTCCCATTATGTAGCCAACATTCTTCTGACCTAGTATTTTTATTTTTTTAAAAATCTTTATTTTGGATTTTTACGTAAAATATTTGTTTAAAAACACTGAACTGACCCAAAGAATTATTTACTTTCCTTTTGGGGTTTCTTTGTAACGTTTTCTTATTCTCCAGTTAAAGTGGAACCACCCCTTTACCCCAGCACACATGCTCTTTTCCTCATTAGCACTAACCACGTAGCACTGAGTTCAAATCAGGGAACTGTGTTTTTTCTGTCCTGGACAGCAAACAACCTCAGCAGCAGATAATTTCATGTATGAACAAGACAGCAACCTTCTGCAATAACAGAAACAGTATCTGCAGGGTCTCTCAAGTTAAGCAAATGGCCACAAAAAAAGGCCCCTGACAAAACTCTTGCTTCATATTCAGAGCTATTTTCTGTGTCTTCTTCAACATCGTAACCAGTTTTAACACGTGCTCCCCCCATGTTTCTGGGGGAGGAAGGCAGAGCGGCAGTACAGCAATGACAAAATTGTCACTGCAAGGGATTCTTCCTTCTGATTTATTAACAAAGTAGCTAGACTGGATTCAAGAGAATCATGTGGAAAGAAAACAGAAAACCAAAGTTTTTCTAAAGTTAAGCAACATTAGAAGTCTCCTTCAAAGCCTTTTGGAAAACTCTTTCCCTGTGATTAAAAATGCCTTGATTACAACAATGATGTCAGTGTTCCGAGGCCACTGTCCCCTCTTCTCATCAGTAATATTTCAGTGTTTCCTTGTATTTAGTACCTGTCTTCATCTACCCACTGCCTTGTCTTTCAAATTTTAGCTGTATTTTTGTTCTGGGCAGCACTTCATTCATGATTAGGGCTCCTCAGTGCTCTGACAAAGATAATTACTGGTCCGCTTAGTTAACCATGTTGAATTTTTTATTCTGAATGATGTAGATTATTACACTGATCTTCTTTTCAAGATCCAGGTTTTTCTTTTTCATCTGTGGCTGGTGCCATCATACTAACCATCAAAAAATTACTTACCACCTCCCATAGAATGAATTATAAAAAAACACTGTAGACAGTCACAATGTTCCGCAGTTTTCCTCAGCTTTTCCACAATGTTTTCCCGATACTGATAGCCATATAGCTTATGACCTACAGCCCTGAGGATATAAAAAAAGTACTTAAAGAAATCTAACAATCTTTCAGCTTTTATTTTAACTCCTCCTATTTGACCTTTTAGAGTTCAGAGCCCAGAGCTGGATGTCACACCTGATTTGTGAGTCGCTAAGCTGTGACTACACCATGTGAATACGGGAGTCAGGATATGGTTTTAATTTTGAGGATGCAAGCAACACGAAGTTCACAGCTTTGAAGCGTGCACTATTATTTTGTACCCATAAGGAAATAAACTTCCACAGTGGATGATCAACTTGTCATTATGGAAAGAAAGTTGTACACTCCTCAGCAATAAGGATATCCCGATGTAATACAAGTACTGATTTTCTTTTGAGTACTATGTAAGTCTGCTGCTACCAGTAATAAAAAAAATCCCCAAACAGCTCATTTTCAATACACTTGCCTGAGAGATGATGAAGTTACAGGATGCTTTATTCCCTGTGTTGCACTCTCAGTACATTTGCTGATGATTTGCTTTCCAGTCTGTAGTGCACTGAGTATTATTAGACGCGAACTAACATCTTGGTGAAAATTTAGAATTCATTATGTTAATCAATCTTTTTCTGAATTTCTCTTTCTGGTAACGTATTTTATATGCACAAAGCCAGACTCTGTGATGCTTAGAAATCAGAAGTGAATTTACTTACATATCTAATTTCCACACTAGATAAACAGTCTCAAACTAGATTATGGCTTTGACTGAGCAATGGAAGCAGCTGAAGACCAAAGAAACAAAAATAAAAAGCATGTTCTTTTGAAAAAGCAAATCAAAAAAGAGGAAGAAAAAAAAATAGACAAAATGATGTGTCAGCAGAATTATCCTTCTGTAAAAGGCTTTTCAAAGCCCTCCTCCAGGCAACAGTGACTCCAAAGTTTACTGGTAAGATGCTACAGCTTCCCAGGTGCAGAACGAACTAGAAAGCTACAGTTATCATGTCCATTTTCAAATACCATTTAATTAGTTGCTAAGAAATGCTTTCTGAAGAGGTTCTCACCAGTTGTTTCCTGAACCAGAAACATCTGTGATAAGCTGCTTGCTATCAAACACATCCCTCAATGGTCCCTGAAGAATTTCATTTACAACACCCTCCTCCATGTCAATCAACAGTGCCTTTGAGAAAGGAAAGAATTAAAATTCAGTACGTAAGCAAACCACCCTTCAAAATAATCACACAAAGAAATATTAAATTATTTACAATAGAAAAGGTATGTTGTTTCTACTGTGCTCCAGAGAAACGTTTTTTTTGTTTGGTTGTTTTTTTTTTTTTTTAAGAACTGGGAGACCAAATAGATTCACCTTGGCTGATTTGCTAAAAGTTGCTCACTAGGACAACATTTCCGATAATGCAGTTTTGTTTAAAGTTTATACTTTGCCCCAACACTTAGAAATAAAGCAATTAAAGCATTTTTATGTTTCAAGTTTTCTTGCTTTTTAATCACTTAAACTGGTTCAGAGAAACCCGCTCCTCAGAAAATTCAGATAAAAACTCAGTTGGGAATATCTGCAATCATTTTATTAAATTTATAACCACTCAAAGAAGAAATGGCAGCAACCTGCATTACTCTACTGAACCATAAAAGTTACTGTTAGAAATTTTAGTATTCGAAGTAGTATTTAAAAACATATGCAGTTATAAGGACCTTATGAAAATTCCTATGCAGTTGAATGTAAATATGCAGTGTAAAAAGAATGACCTGATAGATTGCCTTACTCGTGCTTTTAAAGAGCAGATTCTTCCTTTGTAAATATCAGGACCATCACCACCACTTCTGAAAAAAAGAAAAAAAATCCAAGCTCGGAATCGCAACAGAAAACAAGGCAGTATGTATTAGAATAAAATTCCCTCCTTCTTAATCTTTCAGAGGACTCCTTAATCAGTTCAGTGGACTGTTACAGCGTAAACAAACAGAAACACACACTGCGGAGACAGAGCTCGCAGTTCCCTGAAGGCAATTACAGGACACGAGCAGGAGTACCCTAAGCAGTACTTAGGAAACTGAAAACATAAGCTTTGAAAGCTCTCTCAGCTCCAGCCTCTGCTCTGCGGTAATTCTACAAGCACTGCCCAAAGGGAGAAGGATTATCTTTTCTCCAGCCCGCGGCGGGTACCTCTGCAGCACACAAGGAACACAGCGCACCAAACAGCACCACCACTCTCTCCTTGGGGACAGTACCGCACCGCTCTGCCCTGCAAGGTGTGAGAGCTGTGTAACTGCACGAGCACAGCTCCCTGCTTGACAATTTGCCATTAAGATTTACCAGTTCAGAAATCACACTGGGCTGACATAACTTAATTTTACTTTTTTTTTTTTTTTTCCAGGGCTGGTTGTACTGGGCCAGCCTGGAGGACTACGCTTTGTGCACAGTTGCATTTTTTCCACAGTGAATGCTGGTGCTTCTGCACTCGAAGGATGAGATACTCTAGTCCTGCCAAACTATAGTCAATCCAGGGAAACAAGGCAAGGATACTAGAAGATGAATCTAGTTTTCCTCTCAGTTATTTACCTAATTTGGGGACTGGTCAAGCCTGAATTTAAAGTATCTAATACCTTTGTACATTCAACCGCAATATTCCAAAAATATCAGCTGAAATTTGCTACAGCATCATATGTTCTGACCATGCTCAATCCCATCAGGAGTGAGGGGAAGAGAGGGGCTGCACTGGACTCCTCAAGGATCTTCCACCCTCTCTCTCAAAGCTCTCCAGACACTTCTCATTAGCGGAGCAGCTCACAGCAGCCTCCAGTACTCCCGTGATTCCTCTGGCCTGCCTAACTTCCCTTCAGAGTCCACTGCAGCTCCAGTAAATCCAGCTAGAGAAATTCTGTTTCCCTTCAGGGACTAACTTAAAAAAACAAAACAAAACAAACAAAAAAAAAAAAAAACCACACAAAACAAAACACAAACCACCCCCAAAAAAACAGAAAACCAACACTTCTTTCTCTTATTACTGTGTTTGTGGTCTTTTGTTCCAGCCCATACTTTCAATCACTTTGATTCAATTCCTGGAATAAATCCCCATGTTCCCTAGAATCCCCTAGGCTGAAGACAAACATTTCTGCATATAAAACCATCCATATGCATAAGCACAAGCCCAATATTACACAGTTTAATCATCACCATAACAGAAAAAAAAGTCTGTCTGGTTCTGGCAGAGTGTTTGCTCATAGCCATTTCTGACAGGATAGCCCACCTGGATTAATTATTTTAAATGGTGGTACAGCATAGCCTAGAAGACTGAAGCTTGTCACTTTTGTGACAGAGTTTTATGCTTGCAATGACCTGGGAGGTGAACTAGTTCTTACTGGTAAAATTAAACCAGACCCCACAACAATAACAAAAGGCCAAAACTGCACAGCCTGAGCAACAGAATTTGGAACAACTCTCCCTAAGTAAATGATGGTTCAAGGCTACAGTCAGAAGTGGGAATTGTTTCAAACAGGAAAATGAACAGTTCCTGGAGAAGATGAGATTTGAATAACCATTCTTCTGTTTCACAGGTAGGGGAATCTTCCTTGCAACTCCTACAGTATTCAGTGAGATAAGTCCTTCCTCTTTACAGACAGAAAACAGATGTTTCTATTGCAGACAACCTGTCAATTATAAATCTGGTGTTTTCATCTAGCACACACAGAAACTTTGCTTTACAAACAAAATTTCTTGGTAAAAACAAAAAAATTCTAGGCAATGCCCACAGGAATGGCAACGATAAACTCCAATGCACTTGCACGTTCTTTCAAAGAGATAAAATTTGAGACAAACCAATTAGTATTTCAATGCCGTTTTAGTTAAAATTGCATGCTGTACTGCAGCCCGGCCATATGATGGAAGGAAACAGAGGCTGGACAAATGCTTTTTAATTAATTAAAATGCAATCGCAATATCCAAGCGCACAACTGTTTTATTCTTGTAAATTGCAAGCATTTTTGTAATTGGACAGATAATAGATGACTGAATGCTCTTATGGCATGAACTGGTTCACTTAAAAAGAATCATAGCCACCACTCCTTGCATAACAAACTAGTCAGAGAAAAGGGATCTAAAAAGTGACATGGCCTTTTATACTACCTTATATACAATTCCTCTTACAACTCTTCAAGAAATGCTGCTTAGTTTGTATTCAGAGGGCTTGCAGTCTGATCATGATTCACAAGGGCAAAAGCTGTCAGATCATGACTTTATTTTTGGTACAGAAGGAAAACAAAACTAAACCATTTCAACACTTTTAACTACTGAAGTATAGTTAAAATGGGAAGTTAAAGGTAGCGTTTTGAGAATATAAAAAAGCAAAATATTTTTCTAGCACAAACTAAATATGGCTTGAAACAAAGAAAACTGTAACTTAGGTTAAGAGAAGATACTAGACTTGTTGATCTACTGTGTTAAACTCATGAGCTGCTTGATAAGAAGACTTACCTTGTGTCTACGTTCCTAAAGAAACTGCTTAGTGCTTCATCATAAATTCCTTTCTAAAAGGAAACAACATGACATAAGATGATGTGCAACGTCAGAAATTCTCACTGCTTTTTCATAGAATAATTTAAGTTGGAGGGGACCTCTGAAGGCCACCCGTCAAACCTCTCCACTCAAAACAGAGTGAACATCTATGTTGAATCCAACTAGCTCTAGTCAGCACTAAAAAGAACATTTCATTAAAGCATCAGCTTGATACTAAAAACTGACAGGATGATGCAACTAGGGAATTAATTTTTCAACGCAAGATTGAACAACCATTTTTCCTTCATTTCTAAAGATTTAGGATTTTACTGAAGATCCCAGTTCAATCATTAAATTGAATAGCTGCTGTTTAGATGACTCAGTTCATCACTGATAAACTTGCAGTTAATCATGAGCTCCAGGCCCACGATACCAATGCCCATGAAGTTCTGTGGAAAGCACACTGCACTGTATCAAGGATTCCTCAACTTCCAGCTGAGAGGCGGCACCAGAATTGCTTACTCCACCAGAGATCTGGCAAGTTTAAGTACTTTTAACATTATTTGAGTGACCGTTTACCATACTCCTAAACACCTGATGAAGCGGAATTTGGAAGCCACTGTTCGCTACAACACTAAAACCAAGAGACTCCCCATATGTGTACGAACTTCATCCCTTGCCTTTTTACAGGTGCTTCAACAGAAGGCATCGAGGACTGCTCATCGCTACCTGGTAACATACGGTGCTTACCAGGAAACAGTATCTTTGCAGTCCCGGCAGGAAGAGCTCATTTTTGGTGAGGGTACTCAGCACAACCCTAGGCCCTCTTCACGCTATTTTGCTCAGCACAACTGCCCAGTAAGGCACGGGCACGGCCCACAAGACAAAGGCGGGCTTCGGCGGCCTGCTTCGCTGCACCGCTGCCCGTGGCAGAGAACCTGCACCCAACAACCCCCTCTTTTCCCCAGCCGCCTCCAGCCTGCCCGTAGGGACCCCCTGGGCTCTTCACGGCGGAAAGGCGAGAGAGAGAGCCCAAGCAGAGACGAGCTGTCGGGCGGCTGGGGACGGTTTTGCTGACACGAAGCCGCCCGAGCGCTTTGCGGGCGCAGCAAGAGACGCGGCCCGCGGAGCGCCCGGCCCGCCCAGGCCCGGCCCGCCCAGGCCCGGCCCGCCCAGGCCCGGCCCGCCCAGGCCCGGCCCGCCCAGGCCCGGCCCGCCCAGGCCCGGCCCGCCCAGGCCCGGCCCGCCCAGGCCCGGCCCGCCCAGGCCCGGCCCGCCCAGGCCCGGCCCGCCCAGGCCCGGCCCGCCCAGGCCCGGCCCGCCCAGGCCCGGCCCGCGGCCTTTACCTTGTTAACGGCGGCGTGCTCCCGCAGCGCCAGGTCCCAGAAGCGGCAGCCCACCTGGTTCCCGCACTGACCCACTGCAAAGGGGAAGAGACGCGGGTGAGGGAAGGGAAGGGAAAGGAAGGGAAGGGAAAGGAAGGGAAGGGAAAGGAAGGGAAGGGAAAGGAAGGGAAGGGAAAGGAAGGGAAAAGAAGGGAAGGGAAAGGAAGGGAAGGGCTCTGGGGGCCGCTACGACCACCCCCCCCCCCCCGCCCGCCTCACCCTGCACCACCACCGACTGGGTCATGGCGGGCCGGGCCGCCGCCGCCGCCGCCTCTTTCGAACGCGGCGCACGGAAGCCACGCCCCCTTAACGGCGGCGGGCGGGCTTTTCCAACGGCGCGGCCTCCTCCTCCCCCCCCCCCCCCCCCCCCCACTTCCTCCTGCAGTGGAACGTCCCATTCCTTGGTTTAGCCGCGGGCGGTCGCGAGTGGAACATTCCATTGGGGGGTGTGGGAGGGTGTGTGGGTGTGTGTGTGGGGGGGGGGGGGGAGGACAGGAGTATTTCCGTACAGTACAGTTCATTACCTTTCATGGCTAAAAATGTGCGATGTTTTATTTTCCCCAAATACATTATTCACAGTGATGGTGTGCCGAATTTATATAAAAATACAAATCAAAAATGAAATGAAAAAACGGTCATGTGGAAGTGCTGTAATGAGGTACCCTCCCATCAGGCTTGCAAATTATGTTTTTCTTTAATCTCAGTTTCATGTGCAAATAATTGTCCACAGTGCAGTTAGGAGGTGCTTTTGCCTACGCGTTGAACTTTGGGACCGAGAGCGGGACAACTTTGGGACTAGAAATGAGAGACGAGAAATTTCCGAGATGCTATTGTCTCAGCGTGGTGAGACTCGCCCACAGCGTAGCAACGCTGCAAAATGATGTAAAGAATGTGTGATATGCAAAGCCGTCGCTTGCAGAAAGCTCTCTTGTGACACAGATGGCATTTCTGCTACCTGTGGGAGAACAAAAGTACATCCATGCAACCCAGTTCATTAGGTTTTATGGCTAAAACTATCCAGCAAAATATGCTTTTTCCAAATATATTACTTCTAGCGCTGCTGTGCAAACAAAATTTACTAAACGAAATTCTTAATAGAAATAGGAAGTTCAGTGTCTCTTAATCCTTTATTTGCTCTGGAGAAACGGTGGTGCTGACTCCTGGACATGACCTAGAATCTTGTAGAGATCAACTCTAAGTCCCCAGGAAAATAAATTTATACCAAATGACGGTTTTAAAAAACTTTCCCGGAAAGATTATATATTGCAGCAAATACAATACTGTACAATATAATATAATATCGCATTATATATAAGGAATACATGTCAAGACTAATTTTTAAAATCTTAATTGAAAGAGAAGAATCCATCTACTGGAAATTGGTATTGTTCTTAAGAAAAAGTAACGAGTGGTTCAAGCTTACTCAAGCTTCACATCTGAAGTTGCAAAGGACGAATGGCTTCCGTTACCACTGAAGGTGGAAGGTTTAGCGTGAATAGAGTACTAGTGCCTCAAACACTTCTTTTATAAACTAATCACCAGTGTAAAACTATGTGAATATTCATCAGGAAGCAGGCAGTAATTTCTCATCTCTCTCTGGCCAGACTAGAGGTAACCTATAGGCTAATTTTGTTCCCTGTGGTTACCTGAATTGGTCTGAAACTGTAGGCTGTGGTCTGTTTTAGTTACCAGATGTGAAACTGTTACGGTACTTCTTGCACGTCCTTAAAGTCTTCCATTCACATGCTTTTCTGGCCTTACTTAGGCTCGGTGCAGTGCAGCATTTCTTGTAAGCATTCTAAAGTCTAATGTAAAGTCTACAGAAATCTCTTAGTGCTGCATTTGGCTTGCTGTCTTGTTGTGTAGTCCACTACCCTTTCTACTTGTTCTTCCAGTTTTGTGTAGTTTTTGTGTTCTATGTCCCATCAAGACTCAGCTTCATGGGATTCGCTCCATTGAACGTGAGATTGCAGCAAGAAACTTTGGCTTCCTGAATGCTATTAAGAGGTCTGTGATGGCAAATGTAAAGTGATTATTCTTACTGAGCTTGGAAACACTGTGAATCAGAGATGCAGTTGAGATTCACGTTCATGTGGGAATGCTTTTTAGCTTCCAGAGGAGGTCCAAGGGCTGGAAGTGGATGTATAACAACCAGTTTGGCTTGATGCATGTGCTCAGAGGTTTAATGAAACAAGCAGCTCCACTATGTGAAAGAAATAATCGCACACTGACTTTCTGTTTCACTGTATACCACAGTATAAATGCACAAATCTAGTCAGGTCCTTTCAGAGACTTTTTGTTTATGTTAATCATTTAATCAGCAGTCTCATGCTAATGTGTGTTTCTTACCCTTATTTTCTGACTAACTTTTTGTTGTTGATGCTATACAGTAGTAGCATTCCACAGCTTTGGAACACTAATTGAATTGTAGGAATAACATACTATGTTATTGAGAGGAAATGAGTTGACATGGACCACTGTGAATCTGTGAATAACACTTAAATCCCAACTATAACAAGAGCCAAATGCACATCACAAGTTAAATATATGTGCTATGTTTTCAGCATCTTTTAAGTGGCAGTCATTTGACTATTTAGGCCACATCCTGCTGTAGGGAGAATACACCCGAATTTGAACTAATTTTATTCTTTGATTTATATCAGGGCTTTGTTCACATATGAAGAGTTGTTGGTTTTTTAGTGTTTTACATGGAATGGTTGGCTTTTGGGGAATTACTGTCAGACCTGTAACCCTTCATCTTTCATTTTCCTTTTCAGGCTGTTGTCCATACTCTTGATCCTTGAGGAGAAGGAAAGGTTGGTAAGAGCCTTTAACTGTGGGAGATCTCTACCGATCTTCAGAAATAAGAGATAGAGGGGACAGAGATCCTAATTAAATATTCTATTTCGAAACAGTTTGTTGACTCTTTCAGTTTGAAATTGGATTATTTCTTATATAGCCGTGCAATTGTCAAATTTCAGAATATTCCATGATATAATAACAGTGTAGTTGTAGCCCTGATTTAGACAATGTCTATAACAACACTTGATAAAACCTCGAAGGAGACAGAGAAAAGTTACAATCTTACGGTCAATGCTCATTTTTTTGGTAACCTGTCTGCAGAATTGAGATAGTCATATTCATATTGAAAATGCTAATGGACAGTCTGACAACGTGTCTCAGAATTCTGAGGTTTCTCTTTGTAGATGAAGGGTTTTGGAGCTATAATTTTTAAGATAGATACAGAAGACAAATTGAATTCTGGGAAGATTTCTGCTTAGGCAGTTGCCTTCTCTTAAACACCAGCAGCTTTGAAATTAATGTGGAGGTGTGTGCGATGTAATGCATCACAGACAGACTTCCTTTGGTGCATATGGAATGGTAATTTCAAGGTCTATGTGTATACTGGGGGCAGGGAAATTTTCATTATTCTCTGCTCTCTCCTGAGTCTGCAAGTATCCTCTAGTTTATAGTATTTTTCTTTGGAAACTGTTCTGAGGGAAAACCTGCATCTCTGAGGCCTAGAAGGGAAAACTGAGGAAGATATCCTCCACAGATACTGCTGTGTTTGTTTAGCCGATGATATAGTAAAAAGCAAATCGAATGGTAGCAGTTTATGAATTTTAATGTGTTTTTTATTCACATACTATTTTACTGTATTTTTAGTTTTCCATATGTAAAGTATGCAAAGGACTGATTAACCAAAAAAAAAAAATTCTTAAATGTAAATCCACTGAACAAAAGCAAATCTCATTGCAGCAAATATGGCTACGAAAAATACTGTTTATTCACAGAGCTTGAGTGTGGATATGAGAAAATATGCTTTAGTCTGAAGTAGGTGTAAGACAGAAAAACGTTCTGAGAATGTGTGTACCAGTTAACATACAGTGCTCCACTTAATACCAGCATTCACTAAACTGTGATGCTCTTAGATGCACAAGCATATGCTATTCCTGGCTATTCCTTCTTAGCAGCTGCAGACAACCTTGAAAGAAATTTCAGTTATCCTTGTAAGGAACCTATCTCAGCAGGGAATCTGCTGTGCCTTTCCCTCCAGCACTAGGGTCCTGGAGACCAGGGCCCGAGGAAGCTCAGCTCAGGTTGTGGCGTCGTGAGATTGATTGAGCCGGTCTAACAACTCGCTGCCACTGGAAGGAGAGATATTTCCTTTCTTACCCCAGCTCCCCGCCCTGGCACCATGCACAGCCTCTGGTACCCACTGGGAACCCAGCTCACGGACCTGAGGACATCCCCCCTCAGCCCCGACAGTAAAAAAGTTCCCACACCAAAAGCCCTAACTGTTTTCTGTTCAGAGTCTGGGCAGTAGCTGGGATCGGGAAAGAGTTGAGCAGGCATACTGGTTTTGGTATCCGAGACAAAGGTGGCATCGGAATGTAACTGGATTTGGGGCCCTGTGATGCGCTCAATTGGGAGGGACTGCAGGGGGGTGCCCTTACTGCTGGCTTCTGAAGTCTGAACGGTGGGCTGTGGAGTGATGACAAGAGGGGTCTGCGTACCACTCCCTGAAATCGGGAGCCTCCCTGCAGGGCTGGGGAGGGAACCAGTCCTGGGAGCATATTGCCTGAGAGTTGCAGGGAACGGAATGGGAGATGTGTCCGGGAGAAGACAGTTAGAACAGGCACGGGGCTGAAAGCAAGAGCAGAGCTGACAGGGCTGGTGGAAGAAGAGGCTGCTGGAGCCACGCTGTCTTCTCTCGTCCACTCACCGCCCAACGCTGGACTGTAGAGACAAGTGGAGAGGCAGTGCTGGGGTCCCAGCTGCCAGAGGGTTCCTGTGCCAGCGCATCCAAAGCTTGCAGTTCTTTATCCGGAGTAAGCCCAGACCACCTCAACCTGTGAAAACCCTCTTCCTACTGAGAGAGTAGTAGGGAAGCTACTGATTAGTGCTTACATCTATGTCTTAGTCTGACGGTTCCTCCAGCTCTCCACAGATTCAAGAACTCTGGATCCTGGTTGTTGCTCGTGTGTTTTCCAGGTGAGCTTCTACTAATTTTTCATCTGTAGGGTGTTCTCCTTTGTTTTCAATTTTCATACTTTCCTGCTTTGCAGCTGGTCATGCTTTGAGTTGGTTCCAACAATAATTTGCCCAGCTATTGTAAAACTTTCCGTCAACAGTCGTTTATTCTTTAAAGAAAATAAACTTAAATGGCTTTGATGCCTGTAGGTTATCACTGAAGAGACAAAGTTGTGGAAGTGACTTGTGGCTGGTGTTCAAGCCTCCCGTGAGCTAAAGCCTCATGGTAACTTCCATCTACCTTCTGTGGTTGTAACGTAGCTCAGGTTTGCAGCCCTTTGCCTTCTGTTTACATCTGCCCGTTTCGCCCCCAGGTCCCCGGCAGCAGCCTGTCTCCTGGGACACATTCCACAGGAACATGCTCCTCGTTTGAGGATTTCTGCTGTAAACTGGAGTCCTGCAGCAGTCTCACAAGGAAGTAACGATTTTATGTCACAGGGATTTGCCTGAAACTGTGACTGTGATTCTGCTTTCTGTGCTTTGTGTTTACTTGTGTTATATTAACGCAGATGAAATCACAGTGAGATTGTGAATTTAGTGCTGTGCTTGTATGTAAGTGAATTTATAATTTAGATAAAAAACTTGAAATGTTGAATTTTGTCTCTCCCTTCCTAGGTAAGGCAAGTATTGCTCTAAAATGACTAGTTTAGGTAAATGATCAGTTACAAAGTGTCTGTCCTAAAAGATATACATACTATATTCACTTTGTGCTAGAACATATCCATGAAGTCTAGAAATAGAATAAAAAATTTAATTTTCATTGTTTGTAAGCTTACATAATTGGTATGCGCTCTGCCTTCCACTTTAATTGAGGAATATATAAATGAGTTGAATGGAAAATTAAAAAGAAATGTATCTTTGAACACAGTTATTTGCAATGCAAGTCTGTTATCTAGCATTATTTTTTAACGTGCATTAGTAGATCTTTTCCTGTGAAACAAAGGGTGACCTAAGGTATGGCGTGAAATGATGCAGAGGATCTATTTTGAAAGTAACATACTTAATATAATTTTAATCTCTTTTAGAATCCCTCATTTTCATGTAACGTACTGGCCACACGTGCGCTATAAGAAATGGTAAAGCTCACTCTTGTGGTACAGTAAGAGAAGTGCAGAAGCAACAGCCCTTTATTCTTCCGTGATTTTTGTTTGCACATGAACATTAGAAGTGACCCTTAAACATACTGCTTTCTGTAGACAGATCCTTGATATCTTCATTCTTTTCCCGACGAAGACAGTTTCTTTTGTTCTTTATTTTTTTTTTTTTCTTCTTCTTCTGTGGTCTAAGGAACTTTATGGGATTGATGCAGTGCACTGTCAGGCTGCGGGACAGGTATTGATGCTTACAGCACCACTAACCAAAGCTGCTTTACTAAAACTCACTGGTTTTTCATCAATCATGAAGTTACGAATGCAGCCAGTGAAGGAGTTGCGTGTAGTCAGGCTGGATGTTAGCAGAGACTCTGGAAGAAGCAGATTTAAATAAATAAATAAATAAGAAATTAGAGCTCATGGTGACCAAAATCATCAGTTTGGTGGCAGAATCTTTTCAATTTGCTACTAACTGCAGCTCTTCTAAATCTTCTGTGGGTTTTTTGAGATGTCTGGACTACTGCCAGCGTCCTGGAGGCCATTAAACTAAGTATGGGGAGTTACCTACATTTATGTAAAACCCTTGACACTACATTGTCAATGGAGGCCCAATCTTGTATTTTTTGACAAATGCATTTTCTTTTAAGTAACAGAGTAGATGAATCCCAGAGTGGATGTCTGTGATTTAACATTACGTGTATTGTCACCTGTGTCTGGTTTGTAAGTTTGCGTTTAGTTTACTATGTTTACATGGTAGTCGTTAGTATTATATCCTTTGTTGCTGTGAAGTTCTTTCTAAGATTTTCTGGGACAGGGTGATAATAGCATTATTGAGCCAATGTATGGCATTGCTTTAGTGTTCTATAATAAATGTAGAAATAGAAGGCTCTGTTATGAAGCAGAACAGCGTTTGCAATTACCACTCTATATTACCTCTCTGGGAAGACTTCTGTCCTAATAAAATTCCAGTTTGGATTTAAAGAGTGAATAGGCATCTGCACATAGATTTTACTATTCTCTTTAGGCTCATTTTTCCTCCTGGTAGTGTGGGATGGATGAGAACATCATGCACTCAAACCACTAATCCAAGATAAGCAATATATTAAATTTTGTAGTGAGAGCTGCTCATGATTGACATGCAAGGCACAGGGAAATAATGCTGCATGTTTTCAGTGAGAAATGTACAGGAGGTGACTTAAAAATTGAATCACGTAGTGTTGATTACAGTTTGTATATGAACCCCAACAGAGTAGCTCTGTCTGTTGAATAAGGGAAGTAAATGTAGTAATCTTGGCCCACGCTACACAGATGGTCTGTGAGTCACAAATTCACATTAACAGACATCTGTGCAATAGAAAACACTAGTCAGAAAAAGAACCTTCATGTTTTGTCTTGTGTTCAGAGACACAGTTGCTTGAAGAAAAGGAGAGAAGCCTATCAGCAACAAAACCTTGAGAATCCAGCTACAGCGACAGTGAGTTTAACAATCCCATAAATAAATAAATGACTTCTTAAAAACAGTAAGTCTGTACTGGAAGTAAAATGGAAAAAAAGTGATTTTTTCCTAGCTGACTGACTACTGAGTCCATACCTGACCCCCCAGCAACTGTGAATGTTTTGATTTCGGTGAAGCGGCACTTTTTTTTTCCTTCGAGAACTCGAGGCCGAATGTTTCTGATCAGGTCTGGAGTCTTTGAATTTTACCAGGTTCTTCATTTTGTTCTCTTTTGAAATGAAAACTAAGTCTCTCTGCTTTCTCTGGAAACTGTGCTGAAATCAGAGAAGAA